GAGACTCATGTTGGTAGCATAGGTTCCCTTACCCCTCTGACCAGCTTTGTGTGGGGATCTCTCTTTCATCTTTTTCTTCTTTTTTTTTGTTGCTGCCTTTATGCCTTGCTAAATTCAGACCAACACATCATATAATCCCTTTTATAAATTGCCTAAATTTTTCTTTAATAAACTTTTAACCTCTGCTACCACTGTTGGAAAGAAGTTCCAGAGCCTCAGTCCTCTACTGGTGGGTTAACTTTTTCTAATTCATGGCCTAAAAATACCCAGTGCTTCTGAAGGAGGCTGACTCATGTAGCAGAAGGGGAGGGTAGGGGCAACCAGCAAAGATCAGAAACACAGGAAATACCCATAGCAGAACATAGGCATAGCTACACCTAAATCATCCCCTCTTCTTGAACACCTCCAGTGACAGTGAGTCCACAACTTCCCTAGGCAGTTTATTAAACTGCTTCACTATTCTAACAGTGAAGAAGTTTTTCCTGATATTCCTCCTAACCCTAATTTGCTGCAACTTCAAGCCATTAGTCCACATCCTGTTCTCTGCAGCAACAGAGAAAAGGTATTTTTCCTTTTCTTTGTGGCAGCCCTTCAAGTATTTGAAGACTGCTATTTAAAGACTCCTCTTAAGCACCTTTTTAACAAGCAGAACATGCCTAGCTCCTTCAGCCCTTCCTCATATGTACAGGTCTACCCAACTCAAGGAGACAGCTGACTGATTTTTCGGGCAGATTGTGGGGCCAGCCACCATTTTCATGGGCTTATTGTGGTGGGCTCCCCCTGTAGACTTTGGATGTAGGACCCAGTTGCCTTGTTCAGAGGTGGAGGGGGGGAACCCACGGGGGAACCCACCCTCAGACTGACCATAACCTTTGCATTCAACAATAGGCAAATTTATTGATACATAGTGATAACAAAAGAGAAGCAGTACAAATAATCAAGCAATTCTATAGCTACTAATCTTAGGGCTGTCATCAGAGTCAAGAAACATCTGGCCAGAACACAGGGTTCACTCTGGGGCCCTTTCTTAGCTGTCAGATGTCAGCGTATCAGCAGCCTGGAGGTGGGATGCTGAGGCTCCCCTTGGGATGGATGAGATGGGCTGGTGGTGTTCCCTCTGTCCATGGTGGCCTTGGGGACCTCTCCTTGGGGAAGGGGATAGGGACCCCTCTCAAGGACCATCTCGGGCAGGAGGACGGGGAAGAGGAGGACCCCAGGCCCTTTTTTACTTTCAAGTCTCTGCTTTTGTATTCTCCTTCTCTCCTGGTGACTCTTCATCTGTGGGCATTGCTGATTGGTTTCTCTGTGTTTGTCATACTGTCCACATTCTGTTTCGTCCACACATTTCAAGCTCATCACATGCACACCCTTTCCAAGGCAGGAATTTCAGGCCCCTCTCTTTGGCTCTGTGAGCTGGTGCCACCTTATTTCATGTTATGGAACAGTCTGGTACATGCCCCCAGTTTCTCAGACTTTGTGTCCTTGTTTGTTAGACAGTATGTCTGCTTCTGAAGTTTGGGGAAACTGTGTGTGTGAGACCCAGGCTTTTAGAAATCAGTTAACCCCTGCTGCCCATCTTGAACCGTTCTAATCAGGGGCGATGCATAGGGGGTGCACCGGGATAGATGTGCACCCCCTGACAGGCCATACTCCCTGTTTAGCTGGAGGACAGGGGGGCAGGTGGGAGCACTAATGCTCACCCTGTGACTGCTGGCCAGGAAGTGGGGCCACCAGCAAAAGCAGCTGTGCTGCTTCCGGAAGTGGCCGCAGGATTGGCCACCGGGGGGACCCCACCCCCCCTTGGTCACCTTACTGGTGTCGGGGGGGCATGTGCCCCTCCGTGACTCAAGAGGCACCAGACACCCATGATTCTAATTACACACACATACACCCCTATAAGCCAATTCCCAAAAAGCAAACCTTTAAATACCATTTTCAAGCCATCACCTCCCACACCTCTGATTGGCTGAGGGGCCCTGTGGCTGCACCCACCTGCCACTAATTGGTGGAGATACCTGTCTGTCACATGGCCTTGCCTCATTCCATTGATTGGCTGAGAGGGCTGTCCGTCATGTGGCCTTGCCACTGATCAGTGGAGAGGGGAGAGATCACAAAACAGGCAGCCCTCTCACCCAGTCAGCAGCGAGGGGTGGGGCGGCAGCTATATTTCCTGCTTGCCTTCTGCCAGCAGGCCTCTTTGTGCTGGTCTACACAGCTGGGAGGACTGTTGGCTCCCACTGGGGAGCCAACATTTAATTTTTAGTAAGTTTTATTCTGTTTTTTTTATTTATTTTTCATGGATTTGGGGGATATTGCCTGATTTCATGATTTCCTTAAAATCTGCACAATCATGACTTGAGTAGGTCCCTACGCATATGACTTGCTTTTCATACCCTTTATCATCCTTGTCACCCAACTCTGGGCCTGCTCTAACTTTTCCATGTCCTTTTTAAAATGTGGAGCCCAGAACTGCTCACAGTACTTCAGATGAGGCCTAACCAGTGCCAAATTGAGAGGCATTATCACCTCTTACGTCTTGCACTTAATGCTTCTATTTATGCGTCTGAAAACTGCATCTGCCTTTTATGTGGCTGCATCACACTGCAGACTCATTCTGAATCCGTAGTCTACCAAGACTCCCAGAGGCCAGATGCCTAAGCTGGAGGTTCCTGAGAAGCCAATACAAAATTTGCTGTTGTGTATAGATGTATTAAAAATACAAATGATAAAAACTACATATTCCCAGCAGAGAAAAACAAGAAAAGTGTTATCAAATAAACAAGAGAAATTCAATTGAGCTAAGCTTTTAGGGGGAATTCTATGGACACTTTATACTGGCATTTTATTCTATGGGTACATAAAATATGGTGTGAAGCAGTCAATGGGTGCATCTACATGTGTAATTAATGGACACAAATAAACTTATTGCTCTGGAGTTTTTTGCTCCTGGGCACGCCATTTGAACATACACCTGGGAGGAAAAAACTCGGGAACAATTAGCTCTGGAGTTCATTTGTGTGCAGTACATGAAGCCTGGTGGGAGCAGTCTAGGCTGGCAGGGGACCCAGGGGATCAGCCTGTTAGCCCAGGGCTGCTCTGACCAGGTTCCACATGCTGCGGAAGGGCTGGCTGAGGCAGGAGGATGCTTCAGTGCAGGGGCTAGCCAGAAGGCAGCCCCTGCACTGAAGCACCCTCATGCCCCAGCCAGCCCTTTTACAGCACGTGGAGCCCCATTGGAGCATCCAGCCCAGGACTGCTCTGGCTGGGCTCCATGTGCTGTGGAGCAGCTGACTGGGGCACAAGGGTGCTTCAGTGTGGGGCTGCCTGCTGTTTAGCCCTGCGCTGAAGCACCCTCATGCCCCAGTGAGCCCTGTCACCATCTGTGCATGTGTTTAAGCACAGTAACTTTCTGCTCTGTCAGGTAGTACTTGTGTCTGATGGCACTATCCAACAGTGCAGTAAATTAGTCTACAGTGGCCTAATTGCCATGTGTGTATAGATAGTGACACTTCACTGTGCAGTAAATTTGTCTACTGCACAGTAAAGCGGATGTGTAGACATGCCCAGTGATCCTCAACTGGGGTTCAGTGGCAGATTTTTCCAGGGGTGCTCCAGGACCTGGTCCCTGTGTTAGGAGGTAAGTGATCACTCCTCATCCCACTAGACCCTGTACCATTCCAGGCCCTTGACATGTGTTCATTTATTTGTATGATGGGAGCTGATCCCTGATCCTAATGATCATTCCTTCTGCCGTGCATGCATGCACAGCAGAAGGTCCGATTTTGGGATCAAAGATCAGATCCCATTTGTGTCCATTCTACTTGCCACTGCAGGGACAGGCTGAGATCATAATCCCCCTGGACTAGCAAGTTAAAAGCCAGGTTCTTGCAGCTTGTTGTCCCCCCTTCCACCTATAAGCCAGACATAAACATTAGGTCTGTGCAAAATGGCACTGTTCCGTTTCACCTTGAGTTTTGAGGTTTTGATGGAACAGCGTTTTGTATCGAATTTCATTTTGATGCGAAACAGCTGTTCCGTTTTGCTTCATCAAAACAGTAAGGCTGTTTTGACTCTGTTTCGATGTTTTGCTAGATTGGCTGGGGACGGGAAGTCAGCCCAGCTGGGCTGATGCCCCACCCATGGCCCCATCTAGCACGGGGGATGGGAAGTCAGCCCAATTGGGCTGACTCCCCATCCCCAGCGCTATGGTTGAAACGTTTTGACTTTCGAAACGTTTCGACTAGCCTTGTTTTGTTTCGAGGCTGTTTTGATGCCCTTTGTTTCATTTAGATTTTGCTGTTTCAACCTCGAAATGAGTCGAAACAGTGTCGAAATGAAACAGCTGGTGAAATTTCACACAGCCCTAATAAACATGTTCTACATTATATGTGAGATATTTTTATGGCTGGTTTGCCATTTTATGGCACCTTAAATTATGTGCAGGTATAACACTCTTGCCATTTATTCCATGATTAACATGTTGGTCATGGCATAAATGTAAGGTGTGTTAGGGGCCTCAGATAAGCAGCACCCACAGCTGCTCTTCACCCCAGCCACCTCCATGGTCCTGGCAGCATGCTACACATGGACATGTATATGTTGTACTGTCAGGCTATACTTTTCAGCCTGGACTGAATCCCCACTCTTCCCATGCTCCTGGGCTTTGCAGTTGGGTCCCTGAGTGCATATGTCTCTGGTTGCTGCTGTATGAGGTACTGGAGGCACAGTCCCAGCAGCAAGGGCAGGCATAGACCTGGGGTGGGGAAGGGGCAGATGGTGGAAATGGTGGGGTGAGCTCCTGCCCCCGCCACTGCCACCTGGGCAGCAGCTAGATTCTAGCTCTGCATTTCTCAACTGGGCTTTCACTAAATTCCAAAAAGTTGTGGAGAGTTGCCTTGCGGCTAAAAGGGTTGAGAACCAGGGGTATAGAGGGAAATGAGGAAACTGCAAGGCTGAGTTTTACCACTGTATTTTCTGTCTTGAAACTTGCACATTCTCAGGTGACTGCTGGCTTCTTGCTGCCATTGCATCTCTCACCTTGGATCAAGAAATTCTAGATAGAGTTGTTCCCAAAGACCAGAGCTTCCAGAAGGACTATGCTGGGATCTTTCACTTCCTGGTACTTCTTGGTTTGTCCCTGTCCCAAAGGTCATATGCATGAGGTAACATGCAAGGAAGGGTTTGGATGGGGAAGAACTCAGTGGGAAGGAGCCCAATGAAGGATTCCTCAAGGTGGGTTTTCATGGGGGATCTGAAAATGGAGGAGAGCAGGTGATGGCCAAAAGACATGAGAGACTCTTCCCCCGTGTAAAGGGCAGATCTCACTATGCAGGTATGGAGAAGAGGGTGGGAGGAGGCTGATGGTGAGGAGGAAACTGGACCATACATCCCTAATTGCTTTTTCTCACTTTCCTTCCTCAGTTCTGGCAGTTTGGGGAGTGGGTGGATGTTGTGGTCGATGACAGGCTGCCCACCAAAAATGGGGAACTGCTCTTCGTTCACTCAGAGGAAGGCAATGAGTTCTGGAGTGCACTGCTGGAGAAGGCTTATGCTAAGTAAGTTGGGCTAATTCTGAAGGAGGCTGTGGTTGAGCTCTCACAGGAAGGATGCAACTGTCACAGGCTCTGGTGATGCACTGTGCAGATGCAGTCTGCCTGAACATCAACCTTTTACTACTGCTCAGCCCTCTTTCCATCTGTCTTTAATGTTCTTCCTGAGCACTTAAAGGCACATTACTAACCTTCTTGCTTAAGATGTTTTACCTTCTAATTCTGCCTTCTCTGAGTACAGTAACAGAGGAATTGGGTTATTGCCACTATTTTTGCAGTACAAACAATATTTATATGTCAAAGCTGGCCTAAGGCCCTTTATACAGCTCAGTTTTCTTATTTTCTACTCCACAGGTTGAATGGCTCTTATGAAGCTCTCACAGGAGGCTCCACTATAGAAGGGTTTGAGGATTTCACTGGAGGCATTTCTGAATCATATGAGCTAAGAAAGGCACCACCCAACCTCTACCAAATCATCCAGAAGGCCCTGAATGCTGGGTCATTGCTTGGCTGCTCCATTGATGTGAGAGGCTGCAAGTGTCTTACTGCAAATCTTACAGAAATCCAAGTTTTGTTGTAGCGAAAGCTCAGTGGCAGACATTGCCACTTGGGATGGCCCTGATTGAAAGCCTGCTGAAGTCAGCATGAGATTTTGCTATTGACTTTAACAGACTTTGGATCAAGCCCTAAATGGGCAACCACTTATCAGGAAACAGAGGGTATGTTGTTCAACAAGGAAAAGTGCCAAATCCTGCACTTAGGATGGAACAATCCCATGCACCGCTACAGCCTGGGGGCTGACTGGCTGTGCAGAAAAGCACCTGGGGGTTACAGTGGGCAAGAAGCTGAATATGAGCCAACAGTATGCCCTTGTTGTCAAGGGGCACTTTTACATGTTACAGGGGTTTACTCCTGTGAATTGAAATGGTGGGTTTTTAATTGTGATGATTAAAAACCCATTGTTTAAATTTAGGGGCTTCGTCACTGTTACAGAGAGGGGCCCAATCCTTTTTTTTTGTTTTGAGGAAGCCTACCCACCTATCCCACAGCCTCGGGGCAAGCAACCAGCAGACTGAGCAGCCCCTGAGCTGCGAGGGGAACCCGGTTTTTCCCTCCACGGCAGTGGTGCCCCCCAGGGCTGCCCAGGTAGGCTGCTAGTGGGCCAGGGTCTGCCCCAGCTTGGGGTCAGGGAACAGTTGAATTGGGCTGGGTGCTGCCTTTGAGCTGGGGCAGCCCTTGGACTGCTAGCAGCCTGCCTGGGCAGCCCCAGGGGGGGTGCTGCCACCATGAAGAGAAGGGCTAGGGCCCCCCTCAGCTCAGGGACCCTGGCAGCTCACCCCCTGGCTGCAGGCAGACTTTGTGGGGGAAAAAAAAGGATTGGGCTCCTTGCCGCTTTTTTTTTTTCAGCAGAGCCTGCCCATGTGAACTGTCAGTAGGCTGAGTGGCCCCGGAGCTGCAGGGGGCCCCAGCCCTTCCCTCTGCAGTGGTGGTGCTCCCTGGGGCTGCCCAGGCAGGCAGCTAGTGGGCTGGATGCTGCCCCAGCTCACAGGCAGCACCTAGCTGGATCCAACTCTTCCCTGAGCCCTCCCAGGGAGCAGTGGCCCGTGCATTGTCCCTGCCACCTTCCTGCTGCCTGGGGCCACTCAGGAATGGGCTGGCTTGCCCCTAGGGCAATGCGGAGAAGCAGCAGGAGGGATCTGGGTGTGCTGGTGGCTGGAGAAAGCAGTGGGGATGGTGAACGATGTGCTGGAAGCCTGCTGAGCCTGAGCTTCCTTGAGCCCGCCTGGGCGTTCAGTGCACTGTGCACTGTCCCTTCTCCAGCTGCCAGCACACCCAGCCCCCTTCCTGCAACTTCCCTGTGCTGCCCCAGGGCATGCCAGCTCTTTCCTGGGTGGTCGCAGGCAGTGGAAAGGCAGCAGGGATGGCACACTGGAAACCCCAGCGGGATGGGGGATGAGTTGGATCAAGTGGGTACTGGCCCCAGCTCACTAGCTGCCTGCTCATGTGGCCACAGGGGGTGCCACCATAGAGGTAAGGACCAGGGCCTCCCTCAGCTCAGGGGCTGCTCAGCAGCTCACACACTGACCATGGGAGAGGCGGACAGGATTCATGAGAAAGAAAAAAAAGAAGAAAAGGATTGTGCCCCTCACCGCTTTTGCCTTCAGCCTGCCTTTCCCATGGCCAGGGGGCAGACTGTTAGATTAGAGGCTACAACATTACGTTGCAAACTAAACTACATGGGGATGTGGTTTTGTTTGCAATGTACCAAACCCACTGAAATCACAAAAAATGTGTAATATGTGATGCAATTAAACCTTAAAAACAGGCATTTTTTTTCACATGTACAAGCGCCCAAGGAGGCTAACGGCATACTGGGCTGCATTAGTAGGAGCGCTGCCAGCAGGTCAAGGAAGTGATTATTCCCCTCTATTCAACACTGGTGAGGCCACATCTGGAGTACTGTGTCCAATATTGGGCTCCCCACTACCAGAAGGATGCGGACAAATTGGAGAGAGTCCAGCAGAGGGCAATAAAAATGGTTTGGGGCTGTGGCACATGAGTTATGAGGAGAGGCTGTAGGAACTGGTCTTATTTAGTCTATAGAGGAGAAGACTGAGAGGGGATTTAATAGCAGCTTTCAACTACCTGAAGTGCTGTTCCAAAGAGGATGGAGCTAGATTGTCCTCAGTGGTAGCAGATGACAGAACAAGGAGCAATGGTCTTAAGTTGCAGCAAGGGAAGCTTAGGTTAGATATTAGAAAGAATTTTCTCACTAGGAGGGTTGTAAAGCACTGGAACAGTTTATCCAGAGAGGTTGTGGACTCTCCATCCCTGGAGGTTTTTAAGACCTGGCAAGATAAGTGTTGCCTGGGATGATCTAGTTGCGGCTGGTCCTGCTTTGAGCAGGACGTTGGACTAGGATAACTACCTGAGGTCCCTTCCAACCCTAATTTTCTATGATTCTATGATTGTGTGTCTACAGGGCACAATGAAGTACTGTATAGAGATGCCAAAACTAGTTCTAAATGAACTGGTTCAGGTTCTGGAAACCAGTATAATCATGTTAGTACAGTTCCCTGCCTGGTCTAATCCACTCTGTGGAGATAATCAGGCTTGTTGGAGCACTAGGTTAATATAACTCTTGCTTCCAGTATAAGAATTATATGGCATAATAAATAAAGCTATGGACTAGGAATCAATATTTATGGATTCTGTCCCTGACTTTGCTTCTGCTTCTCTGGGCATTCTGATGCAAACCTGTATTTAAATTTACTCATCTGTAAAATGGACAAAGCAATACTCATCTACCTTGCAGAAATTGTATGAGGCTTTCTTAATTTGGTCTATAAATCTCTTTGAGGTCTTTGAACTAAAGTAGTATTATGTAGTTCCTTATTCTCAGCATAAGCTCCTTAAACGCTTTGTGATGATGTTTACTCCTTGACTATTTATTTTGAAGCTCAGGGACACAGATACACAAGATGCTGTGGACACCACAACATTTGATGCCTCAGGCAAACTGATAGTGGCACAGTTTTCTAGTAGAGCTCAGTGACTTCCCCATGCCAGTGCAAGGATAATTCTCCTTTGATCTCTCACTTTCTTTTGACACTGAAAACCCATCTTAGAAAAGTATCACTTGTCTGGTTCATCCAGATCCCAAAATGCAATTCTACTTACTGTTAAGATTCCAATGCTGCCTGTTCAGATACTCAGATGGGAAAGAGAGAGACAAACACTCCCTGAAGAATACCTTGAATTCACAGTCCATATGGCATCTTTATAAGTTATGCTTGGTCACTCAGGTGATTCCCAGAGTTGTCCTTTTCCCCATGCAAAATGGGGATAATGCTATTTTTCAGTCCTGTAAGTTACTGACACCTGTAATGCAGTCACAGAAATTATAGAAAATATTTAAAACCCTTATCATCTTGTCCCAGTTTGCTATTAGTTTAATGTTATACCTATAAAAGCCAGGGTCACATATACAGATCTTGGCATAATGAGCCCTTTGGACTGAGTTCTTATACCAGACTGCAACTGAAATTTATCTTGGCTATAGACTGGATCTGAATATTGAAGGGGGAGTCTGGATCTGAATTCAGATTTCAATATCTGCCCTTCCTACCAGGTCTCTGATGTGTTTGAAACTGGGCTTTGATGACAGTAAAATGAGATCTGGAGTTTGGATCTGAGGTTTTGTTGTGGACCTACTTCTGCTTAATATGGGTTGTGGTGGTGAATATTTTATTCTTATTAGAGATGTCTGTTTGATCTCTCTCTTGTCTGCACCAGGATTAATTTGGTCACTAGAATTGTGTGTACATGCGGTACATAACCATCTTTGTTATTGTCCTAGACCACCAGTGCAGTTGAGACTGAAGCAATCACACGTCAGAAACTAGTGAAGGGACATGCTTATTCTCTCACTGGAGCAGAAGAGGTAAGGCCCTGTACCACAGATAGATCAATTTGGTTACTCCTAAGTAAACCCAAATGGGGTTTCTAGTTTAGACGAAACTGTTATATGCATCATTAAGCAGATCAACCAATACAACATGCACATCACCTAAGGCCTGAAATTCTACCTTCAAAGCTTTCTGATGGCTTTGCCTAGCTGATCCTTGTGAAAATATTGCTGGTCTCGTCACAGCTACATAGAAAGAAACACTGATTGTAATATTCAGCTAGCTTGGAATTTTTGTCATCTAGTGATAACCTCTCAGATATCTTGTTCTAGCCAGTCTTCCTCAGTGTAGACTGTAGCCTGCAACCAGCATTATACTAACTAATTATACTGTACATGCATTGGGCCTTATCTTTTCCTATATATCACAAACTATCAAGATAAGAGAGATGATTATGCTGAATAACTTTGTACTAATTATGCTCCCACCTTATCTTGTAAAATGCCACATGCTGATGAGGCTGCGAATACTGCATTGTGTTATAAATTATGCTCATCCTTGGATGTTACTTGCACAGCATCTGATAAATGGTGAGCATTGCAAGAAAGGCCGTTTGTGCAGTAATGGTGTGGTACTGAGGGGAAAGTAAATTGGGGATTGAGATCCGTTTAGTGCTCTTTTAATTCTTACAAATTAGAATTAATCACACAGCTAAAGCGCAAATTGTTTTTCCTGTAGATGTAAAAATAAATACTGCATGATGATGACTGGAATAGCAACAGGCTGAGATACTGCTTGTTTTGTACTTTACAGGTGAATTACCACAGGCGCCCAGAGAAACTAGTCAGGATAAGAAATCCCTGGGGTCAAGTGGAGTGGACTGGAGCCTGGTGTGATAAGTAGGTTATACATTTTTCAGTGTAGTCTAATATCTTTTTAAAAATTAAATTGGTAACACTTGCAGCTCGTAAGGCACATAGCACACAGGGAAAAAGTGTTAAATCAGTTGAAGATGGTCAGAAGCAAAGCAATATTAATTCATTAACAGTACTGGCTGGTCATCTCTTCTGACCATATCAGGCATGTTCTTACTAGGGGTGTGCAAGGCGGGCTCTATTCGATTCAGATTCGGCCCAAATCGGGGACAACAATTTGATTTGTTGATTTGGATCACTGTCCCTGATTTGATTCAGCTGAATCAGAATCTGAAGATTTGATGCTGATTTGGAGAATCAGTGATTCAGACATAGACACAGCTTTAAATGTTTTTTCTACATACCTCGAAGTACCAGCATGGCTCATGAATGCTGCGATGCTGGGGCGGATGGAGCGTCCCACAAGAGTGCAGGGGGCCCCCCCACATGCTTGGCGATGAACCTGGAAGTCGCCAAGCCAGGGAGGCACGGTGCACGCTCCCCAGAGGACCTGGAAGTGGACCGGAAGTGCTTCTGGTCCACTTTGGGTCTGCTGACGAGCATGTGGGGGCCCCCCGTGCTCCTGTGGGACAGTCCATGTGCTCCAGCATCACAGCACTCATGAGCTGCCTGGTACCTTGAGGTATGTAGAAAAAACATTTAAAGCTGTGTCTATGTCTAAATCTTAGAATCTTTCCAAATCTCCCTGAATCGATTTGGAGGGTTCTAATTTGATTCGGAGAGATTAAAGGGTCTCCTGATTTGATTTGGAGATTCGGCCACCAAATCAGGCCAAATCTCCACCGGATCGAATCAAAGACCGAAGCTTTGCACAGCCCTAGTGTACAGGTGCCCTTAGATGCTTGTATAGACCTCTCTAGTCTGGAAGCAGGGCTTGGAATCTCATGGGAACAGAGAGGTGATCAGCCATGTTAGTCTGAAGTCAGGCAGAAGGTAGGGTAGGGTGGCATGTTAGAGAGCAGCATATGCTTTTGTAGGTGATAGCCTGCTTCATCAAATGCATGGGAACAGAAGTCACAAAATGTCTAATATTTCCTTGCAGCAAGACATTTTTCTCAGGCTTGATACAACTTCTTATGCAGTATTTCAGTACATTTGTATCCTAGCTGCCTGAAATTATAGCGCTGAGGTTGTGTGAAGAAATTTGGGCAAAATGTAAGATCAGTCCTATTGTTATCTGAACTGTTTTGCTCACCCCTAAAAGTAATAGATTCAGAAATGTTCAAAGTTATATTCTGATCTCAGTTACACCTGATTCAGTGTGGCTCAATCCTGCTGGAATCAATGGAGTTATTCTAGACTGATATGGGATCAGATCTGAATCTGGCCCACAGTGCATCTACACGAGATGCTTTACTGCCCAGTAAAGCTATTTACCGTTCAGTAAGTATCTGCATCTACGCATGCAGACACTTACTGCACAGTAATTGGCTCTAATTGTGAGTAATTTTGCTACCTTCAAATGCAAGTAGCAAATTTACTCAAGATTATTTACTGCACAGTAGTACATGTTTAGATGCCTGGCCATGGGCAGCAGGGGATGGGAGGTTGCTCCCTGCCCCTGGGAGCTGCCTGCTATTGGGGTGGGCTCTACTACCAAAGCCCAGGCAGGGACAATGTCCCCTTGCCCTGGCAGCAGGGAGCTCCCAGCCCCCACTCCACGGTCATGAGACCTGGGCTGGGAGATCTTTATCTCTCAGCACCAGCTCTGCAATTGCAGGGCCAGTACTGGGAGATTCTTCTCTCCCAGTGCCAACTCCATGACTGTAGAGCCGGTGCTGAGAGAGAAGAATCTCCCAGTGCTGGCCCCGCAGTGGCGTAGCTGGTGCTGGGAGATAAAGATTTCCCAGCACTGGCCCCGTGACTGTGAGGCTTGGGCTGGGAGATAAGGATTTCCCAGCCCTGGCCCTGTGATTACTGAACAGGCTGGGAGCTCCCTGCTGCTGGGGCAGGGGGACATTGTCCCCTTCCGGGCTCCAGTGGTGGAGCCTGCCCCATCAGCAGGCAGCTTACAGGGGCAGGGAATAATGTCCCAGCCCCTGCCAGGAGACAACTGTCTTCTGGCCCCTGAGCCTAGAGCTCCCCCTGGCTGCTGCAGGCTGTTTCAGGGCTGCAGGGAGCAGGAGCAGTCTGCTGCTAGAAGTAACTAATCTGCTCCCACATCCATGATGTGTAGACACGTGCCTGGGAGAGTTTACTCTCAAGTAGCTTACTCGAGAGTAAACTGCTCCTGCATTATTTGCATGTGTAGATGCACCCAGTATAACAGAAATGGGAAAGAAGGAGTATATCTTAGCTTATACCAAAGATTAGTCCTTGAGGTATATATGTTCTGCTGCCTGCTTCATCCATTCTCCTGAATTATTTCAATGTCCCAAATAATGCAGCCTTTTCTGCTTCCCTGAATAGACTACTAGTCTTTCAACTAAATATCAGAACTGAGAAACTTCTGATATTCAGAAAACACATTTTAGGGACATATTTTGTATATAATATAAAGTAATATTAGACAATCTCATCCAGTCAGTCCTCCATTTGTACATTCTCACACCTTGTCGTTATGAATAAATTTAAGGTTTTTTTGTTGCAAATACAATTTGACCAGATTGTTTAAATAGCTTTGTCACATATAATTAATTTGCGTTTTGTATTTTGTAGAGACATTGAGAATGGCAGTAGATCTAATCATAGAAGGGAATATGTCCTGTTATTGGCTGTTACTATAGAAACTTCCAACTTTCAGAACCACTCAGAAAATCAAATTTAGCTGCTATACTTATGGCCTATTTATTTTTTCTGGCAGTGCTCCAGAATGGAATTATATTGATCCCAAACAGAAACAGGCTCTGGATGAGCAGTCAGATGATGGAGAGTTTTGGTAAGAATCATTATTTGGATTAAATCCCTGGATATGTATCTCTTTAAACTTTCCTATGGATGGAATGGGAACAAATACTAGCATCCACAGGGTTAATAATGCACAATGCATGCAAGTTGTTAGTCTCTTAGTTGTTTCCCTTTTTATTAGGCTGTCTATAACTTAGAGTGTATCCAAAATATAGAGAACAGATGGCTATAAAGTTAATGAGGTGGCAAGAATGAAGCTCAGATGCTCAATATTTTGAGGCTTGTTTTTTGCCTAAATGCTAAATAGTAAGGAAATTCAGATTTACAGCTTAGGAAGAGCCTATGTACCTGGTACAGGTGGAAAACTCAGCCCAGTATTTGGTTAATCCTGGTGTGCCTTGTGTAGAACTCTACCCTAGATTAACATGTGTAGTGCCCACAAATATACCAAGTGGAAGGGGTGTAGAATGATTTAATTTAATATAGATTTATACAGCTGTAATTCACTAACATTGGCAGAATTACTCCTGATTTACATCAGCATAAGTGCAATCAGAGACAGGTTTTTGGTAAGAAGGGGTGTTGCCCTGCCAGAAAGTGAGCGGTCACGAAGTAATAAAGTTTCCCGCCCTTCTGGTGTCATGACGTGATTAGCTAATAATATCAACCATGATGACATTTCAGGAATGGCAGGAAGAAACACCAACTGAAGCAAAATAAAATAAAAAGCAGAATCTCTGGGGTTGTTTTGGGATGAGTGAATTTGTCATGGAACTCAGTGGTATTAGCCTTACTTGGAATACATAACATTGTACTGCCTCACAGCCCCACTGATTACCGTGAAATTACTTGTGTACTAAGTGTAAGCAAAGATGGCATAACTGAGCCCATTATGAATATTAGCCCCTGAAAATGTATTGCCTTAAAAGGGCAATTGGGACTGCAGAAAGCCAGTTTTAATTTCAAAGTTCAATTAAACTGAGTTTCAGGTGATTCTGCTGTGGTGCTGCCATTTACTGCCTCATTAAAAAGGGGCTGATCTGTAGTGGTGCTGGCCAGGTACAAGATCTCACATTCTCCCGTCTCTCATTCTATTTTTTTTTGGTGCCAGGATGGCCTTTTCAGATTTTAAAAGTCAGTTCACAAGGCTTGAGATCTGCAACTTGAGTCCTGACACCCTGACAAGCAAGGAGGTCCATAAGTGGGGTCTGACCTTGTTCAGTGGGCACTGGATGCGTGGTTCTACTGCTGGAGGCTGCCAGAATTATCCCGGTAAAGACCCCAATGAAACTTGTCTTTTTTGCACGGTGAAGAAGCAGACAAACATGCTACCAACACAGAGCCAGGTTCTGTACATCTATTGGATGTCTAAGGCCACATCAAGATGTTCCCAGGACCAGATCTACAATCACAAGGTGTGATGGTAGACCAAGTCCTGAATGTGCAGACATTTGGTGGTGCCAGGAGCTCAACCTGAGCAAGTCAGGGTGAGGGGAGGGGTGAATGAGATCAGGGGGCCAAGCAGGTCTGGCAGAAAGAGTGGAAGGGTCTTTAGCAGGATCAGGGCATCAGGTGAACTCAAGTTAGGTTGGGCCAGACCTTTTTTGCCCAATCTAACCTTCCTGAACATAAGTACAGATCAGCACTGAGATTAACATAACCCTGGTTAGGTCAGTATAATGTAAGGTCTGCATGTGAGTGAACTATGTTATATCAGGTGGCATTTTTTGCCTAATCTAACCTCCCCAACCATATGTCCAATTTAATACTTAAGTATACTTAATTCTACTTAGGTTGATCTAAGTGTAACATCTGTATGTACCCTAAGTCTACTTAGGCATCTAAGTGTGGTTCTCTCCCATCCCATTCAAGTCTTGAAAATCCATTAATGCATCTGTTTTTGTAACACACCAATATCTTATCTTTAGGAATGAGTCACAAAAAACAATGAAGAGAAGGAGCACCCATGCACCTTTGTATTAACATTTTTTGCAGGGCCTTGAACCAGGTGCGTGATATCTGAAGGCTTGTAATGTGGAGCAGCTCTTTATTACATACAGAAACTTATATACAGCTACTTATAGCAAGAAGTAACAGTGGCAGGCCTGCTCCTGTTCTGCCACCTGGAAGTGCCTGCTGGCCTCGCTAGGCTGTCTCTTGGGAAGTCACATTTTCTGGACACTCTGTTTATCCTTAATCCTTTATCCTTATGACTTAATCTCTGTCACAGGGTGAAATAGAATCACATTTAGTCACCTAAGTCCATTTGCATGCCCAACTGGTAGATCAGAGTCTGTCCCAAAGTGTCTATGCTGTATCATTGTTGCAGCAGGTAATGCAGGTGACTGTGAGGAGGAAGCGATGTTATTTTTATAATTGGGTCAAAGGCAGAGGACTGAGATCTGGATTTAGTTCAGACCTGGATGCTTTTCTCTTTGTACTTTTATTTGTTATTGTTGAAATAAATTCAGCATGCAGTTGAGAAAATTTGGACCTATACTGTATAAGATAATGGAAAAGTCTGGCTAGTGTTTGGGTTTGATGGATCTGACATTTGGCATGTAATTCTCATGAAATGTAAATAAATGGAAGACATCTCATGAGATTTAACCATCATTGGTTAAAAAATCTGGTGAAATCAGTCATTTTCATGAGATGTTTTTGCTATTTTGGGCAGCTTCTTGCCAGTTGCAGAAAATATGTCTTTTCCTTGAAACTAGACATGCTTGTGGAGAAGGGAGTTTGACTTTCGATTTGAAATTCTGATGCCTATTATTTCCTTCTGTAGGTTTTTCTACCCATTTTCTACACACTTTGGTATTAGGCGAAAGCTCTCTGGCTTACATCAAGATCTGATTAGCCTTGTTTTCCCACTAGTGTTTTCTTTCCTCCCTGGGAAAGTTAATTCACTCTTTTCTCTATGAGCCTTCCCTGTTTGTATTGCTTATGCTTCTGACTTGAGTAAGCTCCAAAGGGATTGTATAGGTCACAACATAGCTACAATTCAACACTGAGAAAGCAGTGTTATTTGGCATTTTTTCAGGTAAGACCTAAGGAGAGGCCCTTTGCGATTTGGCCATATAACAACAACATCAGTCTCAGCAGCCTTATCCTGGGGATAAGTGACTGGCTAGTATTAATAACATCAGCTCCTCCCAGCTAGTCATTACTCATCAGGAAATATCTTTGTGCTCTTATGTCTTATTGTTTAAATAAATACAGAGTTCAGCTGGGAAAGCATGGCACCATATAACGTAACGGGAAGGTTTGGCTGAACTCCAAATGAAAGTATTCCCTATAGCTCTAATGACCCCTTGTTTGCAGTGATGGCAATGGCTCTTTTTATTTTCCCCTGGCCCCTTAAGTGACATACTGGACCAATCCCCAGTTTAAAATCAGGCTGGATGAGCCAGATGATGACCATGAGGGAAATGCAAATGAACCATGCTGCACTCTATTGGTGGGGCTAATGCAGAAGAACCGCAGAAGACAGAGGAGGGTGGGAGAAGCTCTCCTCAGCATTGGCTATTCTCTCTACCAGGTATAGTAAGTTCCTTGTTAACCCTTTATTCAGTGTTATTGTCCCCCATAAGAAATGGGCAATGCTCAGAGATGCTTTTGACATTTCGGTATTGCATCGGTCAGATGTTGCTTTTTGCCAGAAGGGTCAAACTGTTGCATAATATATGTGAGATGAGAAGATTCAGATAAATGGCTTGGGTTTTGTTTCATCTTTATTGCTAAGAGACTGGCCCCGTTTGGGAGGCAACTAATCTAGCAATGACTTCATTCAGAGCTTTCTCTTGAAAGCCCTAAGCGGGCGCTGTTCTGGATGGATGGAGGTCTCAAACAAATAGTTCAGGTTTAGGCCCCCTTGCTAGTTCCCAATGTTTGCTTGAACTTTTTTATTTTTTATTTTGTTCCATTTTTGTAAATTGTTTTTTATTTCTATTTGACTGATTCACTTTCTGCCATAGTAGTATTCCAGTTCAGCTGATTTGTGATTTTATAGAAAAACTCATCACTACTGTGTTAATCCATGGGCAATGTACTTGAGGGAACAATCCTGCAGTGGCTGAAGAGGGAAATAGTGTGACTGTCTCCCTAACTTCTGTGGTGCTATAGCAATCTAATACAAATCTAAGATTTTCCCTGGTATTGGCATTCAGGGTATTATATTTTCAAAAAAGCAATGAAGAGCACTGTAGATTCCAATGGACTAAGATCATTAACAAGCACAGCAGAGAGCAGATAGCAATCATGACCTTTTGCTAATGTAGCTCTGTGCTCTACTTTCCTAACCTCCTGCATGCATAGTGGGGGCGGGGGCTGTTAGGGGTTAGGGCCAAAAAATGAGGCAATGGGTTAAAAGCTTGCATGACTTTCCCTTGTGCCAAGATGTCTGAACACAGAGTGAGCTTTTGGTGTCCTTTTTAAAGTTGTGCCACATCCTGGATGCCAGGCAATCCATTTCATTTCAGCTCTAGGATGTGCACCTAGAAGACAGTGGTCTCCTCCGACCAATCAATCAAGAAGGAAAGAAAGCACAACCATTTTGCTTTAGCATATAACTACCATGAGAGATGTCTCATTGCATCTGCCCACTTTATAACCTTTTATTTATAGCATGGAGTTGGTAACTCTTAACAGAGGAATCCTTCCATCTTGAAGTGAAGGGCTGCTAAATCCTCTGTCTCGTGACTCCTCCAGAATGCAAGTTGCTATTGCCACTCTTCCCTGTGAAGAGAACAAAGGAGAGAACCAAGGAAGCCTACTGTAGTTAAGACAACCCAGAGACAGAAGCCAATATAAGAATATGAGAAGAAAGGGAGAGGTACATACTAAAGTTTCCCTACCTGGTAGAACCTTATATAAGCCAACTACAAGACAATTATAGTACAACTGACTGTCTGTCCTCATGCCCAGGTGCTACTATGGAGTGAGTCTTAAACTAATGAAGGCAGACATAAAAGACATTCTGGAGGAAGCTATGGGTGGAAATTTCAAGAGAACCTAGTTGGTTTTGGAGCACAAATCTAACTGGTGTTCAAAGGTACTTGTGTTCCCAAGTCAACCAAGAAATCTGCTATTTATTCACAAGTACAATTATAAGCAAAAATTAACATTTTAGCTGTTTTGTTCATTTAATCAAGGGCCACGAATTTCCTACTTGTATTATGTACTCCTTGCAAAACTATTTATCTTCTGGTTAGATATCTTTTTTTTTAACTTATGATTTAAAATATAATTGTAGCAAATACATTTCATGCTAGCTTTATTCTCAAGACTATTTTGCTAGACTGGGCAATGCACTGGGTTCTGCTGACTAAGTATTTCAGGATTTGTCCAAATGCACCTTATTTTTCCTTTGAACCAGGGACTCATGAGCACAGCTCAGAATTGTAGTATGTGGTTGTAAATAAGAGTGAAAGACAAACTGTCCAAGCCTATGAAATATGACTTCAGTTGATTTTTCATCCAAATAATTGCAGAAGATACCTACCAATATTATATTTTTCTCTCTTTCGTAGCTCCCAAAAGAGGTATGTACCTTCTCCAGATGACCACCTTCTCTTGGGGATGAGTTTAGCAGCAACTGCTTTTTGAAGACTGGTGCCTTCCGAACTCACTGCAATCCTTCTAGAGACCTTGGCTCATTCATCAGTAACCTTATATTTGGATCTCCTAAATAATCATTTGAAATTAATTGGGGTGTATCCAAGATCTTATCCAAAAGTTATGAGTCAGAGTTTTATCTTATTTACATTAGTTTATGGCTTCCATTGTATTCCACTGATTTGGCATAGCTGAGATCAGACTCAGATTATGGCAGAACACAGCCTATTTACTCACATAGTTAATTGCATTTTTTCTTCCTGAAGGGAGGAAAACCCAGCTAGTATTATTTAGAGAAAATACCAAACTCAGTGGATCCATTCTCTTGATAGTTTTGAGCTGGGGTTCCAGGTAATAATCAGTCATTTCCAACTCAGCCTCCCTACTCTTCACTCAAATGTCCTAGTCAAGGTAATCAGGATTTTGATATCTAAATTAAGGACCACAAAGGAGTATCTGGGGCTAAGAGGGATCCAGACTCATTAGTATAGTGTATCAATTTGTGCTGCCTATTTTTCCCTGTGTTTTTATCCCTTTTGTTCTCATTCAGTAAGATAACATGTGGCTATGTGCCAATTAACTGTGCTCTGCTTACAGCTTCATAAACACAAAGGGAATGGGGATTATACATTGAAAAGATGTTGGATCTGATTTCTTAGTTTTTCACTGCAACGTAGCTTAGCTGTAGATTGGATGGGAGAGAAATGGTCCAAGTTTTTGAAAAACCAATTAAATCAAAACCTACCCCTTAATTTATCACATCATTTTACAGTTTACAACAGAGATCCTGCTAAGCTTTGGACTATTTCTGTAGTAGTATTACAGTACAGTATAGTATTTGTATGTGGGATGTTATAGCTATTTACAGTTTCAGTGTGAAACATTTACTGTGGCCTTAGAGTCAAGCCAGAAACATTATCAACATGTGATGTTCCACACCCTGTATCAAATATTTTCCACCTTTCTTGACTCATTACTTTGCTGAGTCACACACTGTGAAAGACTAGCTTTGTGGAGTAAAGGTAATTTGAATGCAGTAGCATAATAAGGGGTGAGTGATTGGGGTACCAGTCCCAGGCACCTGCTTAGAGGGGACACCAGAATGGCAGCTCCTGTGGAGTCCATGGTGTTGCAGCGGTAGTAGCAGCTCCATGCCATGGCTATAGCCACAGCAACCAGGTGCAGGGACTCTGTGCTGCTAATGTAGCAGCAGTAGCAACAACCAGGGCCAGGCAGATTGCTCTGTGCCATCAGCAACCAGGGACTGAGTCCTTGGAGCAGGTAAGACTGATGCAACCCCTCACCTTGACCATTCCCCTGACCTCTCTTTTTCCCCCAGGGTTTTGGCCAAGGAACAAACTTGATAGCTATACTTTTGTTTGAATAGCATTTATAAAGGTGTTTGTAGCAGTGGGATTTGCTTTCATGCTACTATTTATCTTTGCATTACTGATTTACTTTCCAAGCTATAAAACATGTAACTAGATTATCAATCATGGAAAAGCTGGTCGAGATTTTCACAGCCACCTAGAGGATTATCCACATCTCCCACTAAGGTTAATGGGATTTATGTGGCTACATTCCTTATCTGAGTATACAAATCTTAACTAGGTAACTGTTCCCCTTGAGCAGCTGACAGTTCTTATAAGCTGATTAGAATAAAAAGTTACTGTTTGTAGTGCTGCTGAAGGACAACAGCGGTAAGAAAACAGGAGGAGTAGATGGTGGAGCTGGTGGAATGGGTGACTACAGAAATCTGAGAGCTGGCCATATCACAGAGCTGTTAGAGCTTCTCCTTTACTGCAGATCCAAGGTTGACAAACAACTCTACATGCTAAAGACTAAGAG